ACCTTCTTTTCTGGTAGCGATGTCAGGGTGATGATTGTGTCATTTTATTCACAAGATTTGATCCTACTGGAAAAGTCCGATCTTTTTTTTCGTTTTAACCAGGCGTATTGTGGACTTGTCTTGTTTTCGTTAATCGTTTTAAAATTTGATGTAATTTGAATCAATTTCTTCAGTTGCTGACCCATGAATTTCCGTATGATATTGTTGCCGTGTGAGTTTAAAGAATATTGAGATAAAAATGGTTCAAATATTTCTCTGTGCTTTTAATTTCAGCACTAATGAGATATTAGCGGAACAGATATAATTATTCCAAACAGAATGAAATAAAAAATGTCAGCGTTTGAAGCTCACAAAGCTTGACGAAAACTTGCAATAAAAATTATATGGAGTTTTCGCCGCTTTTTATACATGAACTCCGAGATAGTTGCTGAAATTTTGGAATTCTAATCAAATGTTATTTCACCGGATATAATATTAATAGAAATTAGAATTACACACATAGCACAGAAAGGATGGACTTTTGGGCAGCGGAATTATTCGTTAACTCTAATAATTTTGATCTTCCGGCATACCTTTCGCGCTTCCTCCTAGTTTTTAAAATAAGTTTTAACCTATTTTTCTATAGAGAGAACGGCGTCGTCATTGGCTTATATCTCAAGCAATAATTAACGTTGAACGCTTGTCTGCTTCTGTCATAATCAAATGTACTTTTCAATGCAAAAATAAGCTTCACTACACTCCAAATAATAATTTAGTGCTTCTTTTTCTACGAAAACAGTTCCGGAGAAAATTAGGACCAGCTATCCGTCCTCATCCTGACGCAATGTCCCAAAATTCCATACTGCTCAAGACATTATGGCGATTGTGTTTTTCTGTTGCTCACGTATTTCTTTCTGAGTGGTATATTTTAAGGTTTTCCTTTTGTGTCGGAACTTGTTTCTTTTTTCTTTCCAAAAACAAACCAACAAACCATATTTATAACTTTGAACATCGTTCATTGCAACTATAAGATCATTCAGTTCAGTTTCTTAAAAGAAGTTATGGTGCTAACCTATAACCGTATTTAGAATGTTTACAAAAGTGGCTAGTGTTAAAACCATCATGATCCGAAATCATCAGCAATCAGATGTTTTCACGAATTCAGGTTCATTAATCAAGTAAAATTTACAATCGAATAAAATCTAGTTCCAAATTTCGGCCTTTCTACAAGTATTCCAGATGGATTTTACCTGCTTTGCTCTAAACATCATAGCGAAATTCTGAAAATCTAAATTCAAGAACTGTGGCAAGGATTTTTTGAGAGGTTAGCAAACTGACTGCACCTGATTTTATATACAGAAAAATACAATGCAAGGTAATCATTTCCGAAAATGAAAAGACATAAGTTACCTAAATCTAGTGTTAAGACGAGAAATAATGTGATTCAAATTTAAGAAGAAAACACAATGAATAGATTTAGACATGATCCGCGCCTTCTTGATCAACAAGCTTAAACCAATGGCCACAACGGCAACGCTGCGGTTCACCTTCATGTACAACAAAGAGCACTGGGAAAGTTGTGTCCGGCTCACCTGCAACAAACTGCTACTTATACACATATCACTCTTACTTCTGACCAATATTTTCATCGCTTATACTAGAAGGTCTCAGTAAATACTGAAGTCTTTTAGCAAAAGAAGTTTATCACTCCCAAATATAGTATCATTTGTAATGTAGACCTCGAGAATGAAATTTTTTCCAAAACACATATTACTAGTTTGCATGCAAAACCGTTAGCAATAATGAACTCACGGAGCAAACTGCTTCATTAATTGATATTCGGATGTCAAATCGATTTTAATTTTAAACTGAAATATAAACTAACAGAAACAAGCTAGAAGTCGATAATCGAAATCCGAAGGGACCAGATTAGGGTTTTCCGGCGATGAATTTTCCAATTTGTAATAAACTTTTGTCTCGTAACGCTAAAAATAGTAAATTCTTTCAATGGTTTAGAGGAAAAAAAAATAACAAGTTTGAGGCAACCTCTGCTACTCTCTACTACATAACCCTTAATTCTATGCATTTTTCCAAAGAAGACTTGGATTACTGTACAGCAATATGATTTTGGCTTAAGGCTTACAACTGCAACTTACATCATCGCCAGCAAGTGTTGCGACAAGTTGTCTTCTTTTCATTGACTCTTCGTGTGCTTCCAACGGATCGGTGTCTACAAACAATTTAAAGTAAGCCAAGCCTATTGGAATGTGTTGAATGAAATAATACTCTTAAATCTCATAAATGTTATCGATGGAACTCAGTTCTTTTCATTACCATAAAAGAAAATCCTACTAACATATCAATCTTATTAGTAATTTCTAACTTATCTTTATTAATTTCTAATTTAACAAGTGGACCATTCAGCATTACATATTACTATTCGTATCAAATTTTGTTTGACTTCAATAACAGAAACACTTATGCTTAGGAGGTTGTACTGCGACGTGAAACTGGATAATGCACATCATCCCTCATCAAACATCTCAATAAAGAAACTAAAAAATAAATGAAATGCAAAAGATTTAGTTCAATAAATTATCCAACCTTATATGGACAAATAAATAAAATTAATCAAATTCTCTACGGAAAGTTGAACGACTTTACAGCAGAAACTTACAGTAGCCATAATCATCAGGTGAACCAACTTTTGCGTAGGGACGTTTCCAATACATCGTCATAGCATGTAATGCTGTCGTATTACGCGTCAAACCGGTGAAAAGTTTGTATGCATAAAGTTGAGCCATTTTCTTTAAAAAAGTAAAATTAACAAATAGCTGCAAATAATGCAAATAATAAACGACCAAAATGAAATAATAGCAAAAAATCCATCGATAAAATCAAAGCTAAAGTTTCAGAGAAAATTTCAATTTAGAAATATTCGCTAATGTGTTATTAATTCCCATTATTTCAAAATATTTAATTAAATGTAATTAATATTGGTACATCAACCAAATGGTGCTTCTAAAATCCTACGTAATACTAAGAAACGAATTGATTTGGTTTTATCAGGACACACGCATGCTGGACAGTTTTATATCGTATGGTTTCTCGCATACCTGAAGAATGACTTCCTATATGGGCATTACCAAGTAAAAAAAACAAATAGTAAAACAAAATGGCATATTTTTGACATAACAAACTTAAAATACAACAACCTACACGTGAGATATTGTCACCTAACTCTAGTAGGAAATATCATACCTTAATTAGCTCGCTTAACTTCTGCACTTATTGTATATACTTTTGAGACTAAAATATACTTTAGTAAAGATGTATTTTTCATATCTTCTCACCTAATTTCAATATTTTACAATGTTTCTATATATTTTTTTCTCTTCCTTCTCTTTACTTTGTATACTATTTTGTTAATATTGCTAGTTGTCATTCAGATTGGGAACAAAATGCTACTACATTAGATTGAAGGGATTAGTATTACCGCGTAGACGTCCTCACCCGTTCATCTTTGCTTTCACTGCTTTTGGAATAACGCTGCTTTAGGCTTATACGTCCACACAAAGTACGTATTGCAGCCCATACATTCTCATCCATCTTTGCTCTTTATGGAGGTAGTTTTGAGATAGGTTACGATGGTGGATAATATTGAATGAAGTTTTAGGGTAGGAGTTTATTGGGTAGAATCGTAACCTAAATATATACCAGTAAGGAGATTCTTAGTAATGCAGTACGAATTAAGTTATGATCAGATAGTGTTTTTGTTATACTGTTTGCTATATGCTTTCCGAAATATCTATTGTTACGATATGCTTTCCGGAAGTATCGGTTGCAGAATTTTTTGGATTTTCTAAAATATTCAGTTTATTATACCTCCCTTCGTTTTTTTTTAATGCTAACATACACTATAATTCCTACTGCTTTTTCATTTTTGTCTTATTTAGCGTCTGTCATAGGTTCATCATAGATTTTCATGGAAGACATATAAACATTAACAGTACAGGTTTTTGAAAATTGGAATTTAAATGTGATCTGATCGATTATAGAATTTGTGCGCCATACTAGTTTTCAACTCTATTAACCAAGATGCACTTGATTGGATATGGTTGTTCATCGTAACGTAGTAAGTTCGTGACGTGCAGGTATAAAGTAAAATTCACCACTTACAAAGTAAAATCTGGCAAGTTTTTATAGGGAAAAATGTTGGACGAATTTTTGGACGAACTAAGAAGCCCAATGGTGTTCGTTTATGTGTCTGTGTTACTAACTTGGTGCATGGCTAGTAGCTCACAGTTAGGTGATTCTGTTGAGTTAGAATTCAAGGCTTATCGTTTGCAGCAATATGATATTGTTGGTACCCCTCATGGTAGTCGTTCTTGGCAAGGTAAGACATTTTTTGGGCTTGTTTTCTTTTTCAAGAGATGATATTGCTTTTTGAGTGAGATCGTAGTTTAAGACATCTAATCGGAGGCCTAGATAAGCCAATTTATCATGTTTTGCCTGATAATATTGTCTTGTTTGGTTGTTGTAACAATAACACTTCACTGAAAAGAATATATCAATTCGTTTTTTCATTTCTTTTTCAACTTTAACTTGATAAAGTAGTAATCGTTTCAAACGAGTTTTTGGGCATGATTTAATTTCTAGCTTTGGTACAACATATTTTTGAATTTTTAACAATGTTCAATTTGCAGTAGTATATGAAGCCGTATCATTGGATAGTAATGTTCTTAGGCGTTGTTTGGTTGTAAACTGGCGCGATTTATTAGGTCGCGATTTGCAAGCTTTGTTTAAACAGGCATTTGGTGCAGCCCTTATTGTGTTGCCAGCCGACTTAGATACGTTGACACCTTCAACAAAGACGGTGAATTCTTGATTTTTCAATATTTAGGCCAGCACTTTCTGGAGGGCGATTTTATATGTCCGAATTATACCAAATTCAAAAACTAGATAATTTTAGGTGGAAGAAGAGAATAGTAACAACATCATCACTCTTTCTTGCTAAAATATGTTTCAATACAACAGTATTCATCTGTGATAAAGTCTTTGTTGTTTCAGTTTTTCAAAAAAAAAATAATTGATATAGCGGCATTTCATTATCATTCTATAACATACTGCGGTTGATATATCTACACTTGGATTTAGCGCCTCTAGAGTTTTACAGTTCCTCAATTGGTCATCGGTCCGGGGTTGTATGGTATTAGGTTTGAAGTTGAAAAACAAATATCACTGATTGCAGAAATTGGCTTCATTGGAAAAAAGTCTTCTCTATTTAAATACTGATATAGCCGTATATGTAGTACAACAACAACCGGAGTTGCAGGCCCTCATCGCAGAAGTAACGGCATTTTCGAAAAGGTTTCTGTAATTGTTGATTTCTTTTAAGTGTTTTTTCGTAATTTTCCATTCTAATAAGTGTAATGCATGTAAATTTAAGGAAGATTGAAAACTTTTTTGGAAAATATATGAAAATACTTCTCTTTTGGATAATGAGAGAATATATTTGCTTATACTGTTTGCTTATCATCAGAATCATTCAGCATGATATGAGTAATCGCTGCTTCGTTTGTTGAACAAGAATTTTGAGGTCTCCGACTGCCGTCCAGCAGCTGCTGAATGCAATAAGTGCAAATATCTTCCAGTTTTCATCATCAGCATCAGTTTCTAATAATATTGTGGTACCAAAATCAGCTAATGTTATAGTAAGTTTTTGCTTATGTTTGTTATTTTATCCGAATTGTATTTATGAGACTTCCAAGTACTTGAATAGAAAAAGTATACTTTGAATAGTATATAGTATTTAAATAGTATATGGTATGATCAAATTATCTCGATCACTCTGCTATGACATAGGTATATATAAAAACGATCATATTTTCATCTAAGGTTATTTCTAGTTCAGCTTTCTTTACACTACCTTCACGAATGCTCCAGATTTATCTTTGTTTCATCATTTCTCTTCTATCTTTTCGCTTCCCAACTTCAGCTTCTTTCTTCTTTCTTAGAAGATAACAGTATTTATATTTCATATAGCCTTTTGATTGTATCCGTCACATTTATTTCAGTATTTTTCGAGTTTTTCAACTATTTTATGTTTAATGAAATACAAATATAAAAAGGAATATTCGCCCACTGTTATCCGTCAGAAGATAACAGTGGTGCGCTAGAATTAAAAAGCAAAGATTATTGCAGATACTGCAAATTAATTAAGATGAAGTAAAACTTTGTTTTAAGGGGCACCTTTGGTCAAGAGATCGAAATTCGCCAATAATTGTTGTAGCTGCACACTATGACAGCCATTCAGCAGTACCAGGATTGGCAATTGGTGCGGATGCTAATGGAAGTGGTGTAGCGGCACTACTCGAATTATTGGCTATCTTCTCACGCTTCTATGGTTCTGTAAGTTAATTCTATTTTATTAGTTTATGTTATTTGTTGAGTATGTATGGGGTATCCAACTGTGTTGTATTTATGACCATTCTGCTGCCCTGCTCTCAATAACTACCGTCGTTTTCGATCAACCCGTAGAATTGAAATCGTGTTTGGTTTTGGTAACACGATTCTGTTCACGGGTAGATTGCTTACGTTCAGTATTTAACTTATTTCTTTTATGTTATTTACTATGTTTGATTTTGGTAACACGATTTCAGCAATGTCAAGTGGGAGTTTTTTTTCTGTGTCTCTTTTTTATCTTCTTGTACACGGTGAGAGCAGTATTTTACTTTTTCCGACAAGGCACTTTATTTAAGGCTTGAATTTAACATATGAAATTAGATTTTTTCTTCTCTCTTGCAGAACACAATGAAACCTAAGTACAGTATGGTGTTTTTGCTCACTGCTGGTGGAAAGTTCAATTATCAAGGTAGTCGCCAGTGGTTGGAGGAACATATTGATAAACAAACCGGTAATTACCGCTTGAAAAATTAGGGTTGACTCTACTTTTTCAGAATAAATCAGACGGAAGTGGAAGAGAGATTTTGACTTCTGAAGTTTGGATGTTAAGGGTTTACTTAGAAATTGGAGAGCCAGGTTTGTGGGACTCCTCGATTTGAAGTAAAATGAGCGTAAGATATGTATTTTAAATCTGTTTGCAGAAACAAACGTCGAGCTTGTCTTATGTCTTGATTCCGTTGGTAAAGATAGCAGCCTTATAGCGCATGTATCGAAAATGCCTACTGAAACGTCTCCTGTTGGACGTTTTTTTCTGTTGCTGAAAGATGCTACACCTCCAAATCGAAGTATTGAAATTGTATCGAAGAAAATCAATCTGAACGCTGATGTGCTTGCATGGGAACATGAAAGGCAGAATTTTCTCTGTTTTTTCTGTGAAGACTGAAAGTTAAATTTTCAGTAGTTGATGAAAAAGTAATGTGAAAAAGAAATGGTTGCACTCCTTTATGAGAAATAATTACTGCTCATTTGTCTTGTAGAATTCCAAATACTGAATGTCTTGACAGTTTATTTGCTTTAACAATTTCTTTAATAAGTATTCAGTGCACTGCTTTGAATTTGAAAATAATTTTCGAACCTTCGCCAAGAGTTGTCAAGACTTCTCTTTCGAATGAGTTTAATTTATCTGCAAATAATCTCGTTAGAATTTTCAGATTTTCAATTCAGCGTTTGCCCGCTCTCACGCTTTCACATTTTAAATCACATGCTGATTCTGGTCGAAGTTCATTTCTGGACACACCGTCACAAGTCAAGATGGATGTTTTGGAAGTATGGACTTTTAAATTCACTTTTTACTAATTTGTTCGTTTTGCTTGATTAATTAAAGTTCAACTTCATTCATTTTCCAAGAAACCATAAAATTGAAGGAACTCCTTCAGGAATGATATCCTTTCATAATAATGCGTATCTGTGTAGTAATGCTGGTTTACGACGGAAATATTTAGAGAGTGGGGAGAGAAAAATGAAAATGTTTCTTCGTTTCCTGAATTGGTGGTTCGGATCATTGTTTTATTTTTCAGCGTGTGATAATCCTTTCAATTTGCTTGGTTGCATGATTTTAAGCATCGAATTTCGAGTAATTTCTAGGCAAACGTACGAACTATCGGTGAAGCTCTTTTGATTTATGTGTTAAATTTGTCAAACACAAAATGTGCGCATAAAGAAAATATTTCGAGTTGTTCAATTTTGGCACCAGGAGACGTTAACAGAAAACGATTATCGAACTGGTTACATCAATTTGGAAGTAAATCTCGTTCTTTGGCTGCTAACAACGAATGGCTTGTTGCTAATCTCAGAGATACTGTAGTTAGGTATGTTATTTTGTTACAATGAGGAGATCTTTTTATTACGAAAAAAGTGATGCTTGAAAAGAATTTATACGATGAAAGTAACAGTACTGGAGTCGGTTTTTACCAAAGATATATCTTTTTGGTTTTACCGATTTTCAGGAGATTAAAATTAAATTTCTTGAATTTGTTTGAAACTGTTTAGGCAAAATATAACAGTTTCAATTATAATTATGTTGATTTCAGATACACTTCCGGACAAACTGTCGTGGAACCAGTTTCCCTAGCAGACTTATCACTTTATGGTATACTCGAAGATCGCTTAATGGCACACCGAGCGAAACCAGCTGTCTTTGAGCTTTTGTTAGCATCTGTTATAACGCTTTATTTATCAGCGTTATATTTTGTTGCGCCGGTGTTGCAGACATCCGTTGAAGCCGTGCTCGTTAAGCTTAAAAAATTATGATCTGATTTAGATATTGGTCTTATTTTGCTAATTTTTTGTACAGTCTGGAGTACTTTGTACAGAATTTACTCCTCAAAACCTCTAAACATGTTTATTAGTTAAACATGGTTATATCAATTGATCTGTAGATAATCATTACATATATCTCCGGCAAATACTGGTACTTCTTCTGATCGTAGTAGTTATAGATGCAGTGCATATCGGTTACTTTGTTACTTTAATAATTAGTTTAGATTGTTATTGGTGAATGCCTAAATTAGAGACATCAGAAGTAAAAGTTTTCCTTGTCTGCACCGCACACTACCAGAAAATAGGAAGAATTGATTTAAATAACAGAATTTCCATGATCGTCTTAAAGAGATCGGTATGTAATTCAGTTGAATTAGGAATCAAATTGCATAGAAGAGTCGAAAATTTCCATCGGCATTTACTTGCAGTTGTGACGTGTTGCAGTATTCAAATAATGTGATTTGTCATATATTTCAAATCTGACTGCAAATTGAGTTCAATACATTAAGCACAACATTTGTTCAAATTATATTGGCGATTTATTGGCTATTTATACTTCTACGGCAATTATAACGTTTAACTGCTTTTAATTTATCGAATCGGAATCCTTGCGAGTGGTATGTACAGATATAGAAGTTTTTGATTCCAGCAAAAGTTCTTGACAGGAATGCGTTCATACACAAGCATAGTCAAGTCTGTGTTGTTGGGCATACACATCAAGTATCAAATAAACTATTTTTAGGCTTCTCTGAAATCTTATTCAATAAATTTTGCAAAAAAGGTCACCCTTCTCGTTTAGAATTAGTCGATCTGTCTTTTACGGTGAACCATTTCTTTCAAATTCATTTCGTAAATTCTTTCGTCTGTTCTGTGGTCACCGATTTTGACTAGTCATCCGGTTTAATCAACATTCATGGGAAGCAAGCACTAATTTTCACTTTACCTAATGTTTTAATTTTATTCTACCCGAAATTGCATTTTGACAACTAATGTAGTGTAAGAGGTGTTGTGACCTTATTTTGTGAAATAACCTTTGTCTGGCCAACCGAATTGTAGTGAAGACTTGAATATTTGATGACGGCATAATACAATTATCAGAAATATAATTAAATGATTCGATCATTTGTGGTACTCTTCTTTGTCTTTGATTAGGGAAACAGTTGATTCTATCCGTTAAGTAAGATGTTGATAGTAAGATTGAAACTTAGAAACTGGCTGCTGGCCAATTGACCAGCTGATTCACTGACTGCCGCATCACTCCTCGCGGTATTAATTAAGACGTTATACATTCCTTTCGAGTTAGTCGATACTTTGAGTATTGTTCATATAATTTAGACAATCAATCATTTATAGACAAAGTAGTGATACAAATCAAAGATCATTTGATAAATAAAACTAGTGAGCACAGCAATCATCTAGTCATTTGATTGATAAACCGATAAAACGGAGTCATCTGGTCATTTGATGATATATGCTCATGACAATATTCTTAGAATCGTATGTCAAATGAATGACCCAGATATATCTTATATTCTGGCCAAAACAATTTCATTGGCATAAATCTCAGTAAAACAAGTTGTCTAAGAATATAAGTAATTTTACACTATAAGGTTATTTCGGTTTTTTAACAGGTAATCCGGAACAAATGTTCCATTAAAATCTGGAAACCTCATGCAATCTCGGACAATTTCGGCAATTATTTATCCGCTTGAAGAATGTCAAAGTTGCAATTTGAAATTACAATTTTTCAGATCACCAAAAGTATCCGATCATTTAGTGATGTATTTTTGCAATGATCGCATTAAATAGCTTTTTTCACTTTTCTTCTCCAAAGATTCCTATTTTGTTGACAACTTCCTAATCTCTTCTCCTGTTTTTTTGTTCTCTCTCTCTTTCTCTCCCTCTTTTTCTCTCTGTAACTTAAATATTTTTATTGCATCTAAAAAACTCTTTGAGATTTTCAATTTCTCTGTTCATTAAAACTTTAACAATTTCATTACTTTTTGTTTTCAACAAATTTCTTTTTTAACAATCAAATTTACATGAAATATTTGGCTAACTAATATGTCCTAATATATCCTATCCATTTAGAATTTTATGTCAACAATTTATTTTCACCATATAAATCTCTCTAAACAAATCTCAATCTATTTTAATAAAATTTCTTTTCTGGAATATAATATTAATTAGCGGTTATGTCAGATATGATTGTTTTTGAATTTTCATTCTTCTTATCAAACAATTCCAGTTAATCAACATTTAAAGCCAAGCCAAAGTTAACCGATGGATAATTGGAATTTTTATCCAAAATGATAGTTATCCAACTTTTTTCAAGTTTCTAGGATCACTTTAATCCCAGCTGTCACTTACAAACGCTTTTGTATCGCATATTTCTTTTGTGCGGGCGCTTTTGTACCGCATATTCTACGATTTCTGCTGTATATCTCTTTTCAGTTTATTTCCTTGCTTTTATTGTTTTTATTATTTTATTTCGCAAATATGTAATTTACTATAATTGTAATTGCTTATTTATATATTTATGATTAATTATTTACTTGCTTGAATGGTTGTTTATTCCTTTTTTTGTTCATTAAAAAATTATATGAAATAACACTTTTTCAATTTATACTTTTTATTCGAATATATTTATATATTTTCTCAAAGTATATAGCACAGAACAAAATATAACAAATTATATACAAAAGTATTGGGAAAACTCAGAGCGAAATTTATATCAATGAAAGATTTGATGATGTAATTTAAATTTTACCTTTAGCAAAGAATAAACTTTGCCAATATCAAGCTGGTCACTATATCAAGCTATTTTACTTGGTAGCAAAAATTAGCTTAACATAATTTGACGTTGCGCAATGTTGCGATACACTGATGGTCAGATTTGAGAGAGATCACCTGACGGATTCAGAAATGATTGGAAAATTGTAATGTGAATTTCTTTACACAAAATTCTTATTGCAATCAATTAAGAGCTTAATCACATTAAATGATAATTATATTACTCACGTTTATTATTCTAATAACGAAACAGGTAATGCTATATATCACCGTCTTTGTTCGTATGATAGATGTATTATAGAAATTTTTTGCAATATAATTTCAAATAGTTTCATAGAGTTGTTTTCTTAGATTTTAGTATTACCGCAAATTATTATTGTTTTTCTTTCCTCCGTGAAATCCCGACATTTTAACTTATAAAGCAAGATTTAGAATTTTCAATAATTATTGATGAGGTTTGTAAAAAAACGGTTATTAGTCCCGTAAATTGATTTTACGACAGTAGGTGACGTATATTGTTAACTATTTGCTAGCAATATGAACTGCCACATATGAATCATTCTAACGCAACACTTCGGTAGTCTTCACATCTAGGTGATGTTTTCTTTTAGATAATAGTTATGCAAATTTATTGCTTAAAGTATTGACAAACGTGATTCGCATCCAAAGGAAGAAATTTAGTTTAAAGTGAATTTTTATTCTATATATCTAACAAAACCTATTAATTGTGAAATACACAGAGTTAGACTGGCAATAGAATGATTGAGAGTACCGTTTCAAAAGAAAAAAAGATTGAATACGATTACAACCATTGGTAACAACTCATTTAAATGATTTAAAGAAATTGGTTATTTGTATGCTTTCATTTACATGTTAAAATAGACAGTGTGATAGTACCGAAACCCGATAGATTCAGTACTACTTTATTCCTACCGCCTAACTGACTTTTCACTTCGATACCTGACTCTTACTTATGGGATGCAAATATCATTTCTTTCCGTAGTGCTAATTCGATGTTAATCATCCAGTCAACAGAAGAATGTGCGTTAGTTGAATGTATCAACGAAGTGGTGCTTTAGAGAACAAAATACAAATTTCTGATTTTTTTATTACGTTGATTAATAATTATTCGAAAATTTACAAGTGGTCAATTAGAACTAATTGCAACAAGAGATCTGAAATAAAACAAATTACACGAATTCTATCTTATCACTGTAGTAGTCTCTTTGTATATACAACATTCAGAGATATGGAATGTATACCAAGGAGTAACAGAATATGAATTGAGAGGATTTCGTTACTAAAAAAACTATCAGTTCTACCGAAAGACAATTGACGTCACCATTATTTATTTCATTACTCAGCTCGAATTATTTGCAGTCCTTGTCGTCCTCCACTGTTATCCAATTCTTTGGGGAACGAAATGAATGTAGTAATCGAAATCATTCAGAAAACTTAATAAAATTCAAAAGAATTTCATTTTGTGATTCGAAAATGTCCGCTGCGATTAATCCGCTCTTCAAATCCTTCAAATACCAAAAAACTGAGATGCTGAACTGCACTGAATTCGCAAACTTATGAGTTTCATCTAACAAAATAATTAAAGCGCGAACATTATCATTATTCATATATAATACAATAGAGCACTTGATCAAAGGCACAACATGACTTTAATTTCACTATGATTTTGAAGAAATTATTTGGATCAAACACTGTCGCACAAATGTTGCTGGTACATTTAAATTGTCATGTACCTCGCTATACAACTGCTTCAGCTCGAATAGATTATTTGACGGCTGAAAGGGAAATGAAGTCTAACAATTCAGAAATGCTTCATGAAGAAAAACAACTTATTTGATTTTTTTTATTTCAATTTTTACGAACTAAAAATACTTCTATTTTTTGACATAGCCTTCAATGATTTCGACATGAAACTAAATTGAAAGCTTGCCTCAGAAACTACATCGGCTTGAATATCCTGCGTAGTATCTCCAAGAAGCTTTGAACGAACCAAAGAGAAATATTCACGGAATTCATTCTAGCAAAAAAAAACTGCTTGAGGTTAGCTTTCCTCAGAAAATTACGAATCGATACAATTTTTAGAATAAACAACATTATGAGATTTTTTCTTCGATTGCTCATTGGAATTAAAATTAGCTGTTTCAGTCAGATAACAGTATTCAAACCTTCACCGAGGACCATAAATAAAGCATAAAATATAAATAAAATCTTGATTTTCTCACCTCTCTTTCCGGTACAGCCATAAATGCTGCAGTCTTCGCTACCACTCCATATGCTGGCCCCGCATAATCGGTAGTTAACTAAAAATATTGCATTTAATTCAGAATTAATCACTAAATTAATTAAATTCGAAAAAATCAGCCATTTTGAAAACCAGTTTCATACATATCACAAAAGATTTCCAGTCTAAATTTAAACTATGGCTTGATAATTATTTTTAAGCATAAACTAGATAGAACATTAGCATGTTACTGTAAGCCTTTATAAACTTAGGTGCTTTTCTGGACTCAGAAATTCCTCGAATTGAGCATAAGATTTTAAATAAACACTTACAATAGTCTCACTAGTTTATAAAGTCTATAAATTACAGTTTCAACCGCAAATTTCAAATAATCATTTCAAACCTTTCTCAACTGACTCACTGGCGCATTTTGATAGCGCATCTCATCAATCAAATAAACCATCACAGCATGATCACCATCACCTACGCACTGAACTCGATAAACTTGATTATCTTTGATATCATGGAAAGCGTAATTACAACCTTTTATGGGTTTCTCTACCGCATAATCCTTTTCCTGACCATAAGACAAGTAGTGAAGGCTAAAATATCTTTATACAAACCTTTATTTCAAACTATGAAGTTCATATTGAATAAAAATTTACCTATCCTTTCCTAAACAGCTTTGTTCTTAACTAAGGTTCAAAATGAAATGATTTAAATCTCATAAAACCTATGCATTGTTCAATGAACATAGTACTTACCGCATTTTCTTTTTAAATGAATTATATGTGATTTCGCACGACCGAAGTCTAAAGGATGCCTGAATTCGAAACCTATCCAGCACTTCGTCAATTAATACAATATTTATCAATAAAACCTGAATAAAAGATGAAAATGATTTCTAAAAAAAAAAATTACAACCTGCTTTTTCCCGCATCTCGTCATCCTTCAGCATTTACTTAGTTCAATGTATCAAAAAAACTTTTTAAATTTTTATAACAATGAAATAGATTATGGCACTGTATTATATAAGCAAAATGAGATAAACTTTTGGTTTCTCCACAGAGAATTTTTAAATTTAACTTAATGGCCATTAAGTGGATAGGTCACAGATAACAAGTATGGTCTCAATCAACTTACAGTGACATCAAAAAATGCAAAGCAATGAATGCACAACTATCTGGGATTTATCTTTCATGATTATTTAAAAACATGTTGAACTATATCATATAACTAAAGCTATTCCAAAAAATAATTTGAAAATTAATTTCGATCATTTTATATAACAATGGTTTAGATATAGAAACATAAACTTTTTAAACCACATGGAGAGAAAAATTACAAATAAAACTTACTGATTTGAAAATATTGCTGGCGGATTCCGTAGTCGAACAATAATTGGACATAACATGAGTAACTATCTTAACTGATTCAATGATTGCCGGTAAACAAGACGAGACGTTTGTTTCCTCAGGTCTTTTGGCACCATGTGCCAAAGATATCCAAGCTCCTGGTCGAAAAACATTAGAATATGTTACTTTTTTAAAAGGAAAATTTAACAAGCGTCCCGATACCGATTTAATAAAAAAGAATTACTGACTGAAACCATTCAATTCGTGCTTTGGCTTATTTTAAGTCTACATTTACCTTAGGCAATAAATATGTTTAAAAAACTCGTCTATAGATTATCAACTGATTTAACAACTTATTGTTTCAATTTCTTCCTACATAACATTTATTTTCTGAGTTTCAAGTCCTTATGTTATTTTGATGATGCAGAAGTACTCATATTCACAATACCTTTCGAATGAAATTGACAACAAAAGACATCCTTGAACTTCGTTATCAGCTTAACTGTAAGCTCACAAATATTCACTTTGATACCTCTTGCAGTCAGTTTTTCGAATAATTCCTTTTGAGATAGAGGTCTTCCTGCTTCCGTTAATAAGTCATAAATCTACAAACAAAAAAACTTTGGTTCTTAGATTTAGAAATTTGAAAGTGAAGAAGCATAGCAAGTTCAAAAAATAAAGAAGACCAACTGCAGCTGCTGGTACATTGCTATTAGTTGCAATCAAAGGCATCGATCGGTCTTTCTCATTTTCAGTACTAGTGGTACAATCATTCAGTTGGTGAGCAGATGGAAAAATTGATTTCGGAAGGTTTTTTCGGAGATCAAGTATCTGGAATAACCATGAAAGCTGATAATTGGATAAAATAAAAGCATACTTTGATTCGAGAAAATTATACCTAAAATTTTGTCAAACTTCAGACGAAAATTTTCTGAGATTAAGTTAGATCAACTTGATGGGGAACAACCTCAGTCCAAAAGAAATTTCTTGAATACCAGATTTCAAACTAATAACTAACACCATCTCGAACTGTGAGTTCTGGATGTCTACCAGTCGAAAGTAATTTTTGTATAAGATTCTCCCATGTACCCTCCGCATACCTTTTGGGATCAATGCATCGGCCATCCTCTTCAAAAAAAATCTTCGACAAATCGGAGACCTACAGTGTACATATATTATAAAAGAAAAGAAAAAAATTTCATCCATATCGCAATTATGATAATTAACTTGATGTAAAAAAACAAGATTCGTCACTGACAAATTTCCTTTACCATTTCCGAAATCTCTACATATTCAAACCTATTTCTTAAAATAAAAAAAAATCATCCCGTATTTGTACTAACAAATATAAAATACCTTGAAAGGACCTTTCGCTCGAACAAAAGAGAGCACTTTATCACCTAAAACCTTATATGGTAAATAATCATCTCTCGACCTTATTGCTGAAGCCAACGTTGACCCTGTCCAATATTCATATCCATCGTCCATCTAGAAGACGCAAGTAAAGTCATACGTTCAACAATATTAAACAATAAAAGATTTTAGATATTGTCGAATTTAAATTGTATAAATGCAATAAATATAAGCCCATATTTATGTCATAAAAATATCTCTTCAATGCATAAAGAAATTAGATTTTAAATAATCCCATAGTATCTAAATTGAGAAATTTTCAGTGACTTTCTTAATCATTCGCTTATGTCCACTTCCCAACCGTTCATATTCCATCTAATTAAACAATGCTGATCGAATCATCCGTGATTTATTAATCGAACTACCTATGATTTAAATTGAGTTCCTTTAAACTTCAACAATTTTACAGTGAATTAAATAACTAACAGTTGGAGCAGGATCATTAAAACGATTTTGAAATTCACATCGGTGTTGATTAGGATTGAACGAACGATGAGAAATATCGTTTTGCATCATAGCTGACTGCAAAAGAGAATGACAAAATGCAAAGGAATATCAGAAAGAAATTCTATGTGAAAGTACCTCACATCTGATAAATATCAAAGTAGAGGAGGTAACTAAGTTACATAAAACTGTTGTCGTCATTAGTTTAGTCCTATCATAGTCAAGAAATACTTCATATTCACAAAATTAAATAGAAAAAAAATGAAACGGAAATGAAGTAGAAAGAAAAATGAACGAAGATGATAAGTGAAAAATGAATATGAAATACTCACCGTAGGTAGCAATGGTCTATAATTCATATTATCGATAAGACCATGATTTTCGGCTTCTACAAGAAAAATTAATGAAAATGCAATTAATGATATGCATATACCAGAAATATTCTTTCGTCACACAACGTCTTGACAAGGAGTGCAAACTAAATGTCGTAAGTTTTTAATTGTGGGATCTACCGCAACAAATTGTGAAATTCTACCACTAGCTAAAAAATTTTTTCAGATGGCAATTTGTTAATAACCTGTGCAAAGTTACAAATCTTGCGTTTCAGGCCATCATTTTCAGGTTTGCCTTAGGCCTCGCTAATCAACAATTTATTTCAAATGTTTCAGCAAAATTTTTACGCCATGAATTAGGGCTTTGGATTACAAATTTAATGAGATTAATAACCATCAATATCGTCATCGTCGTCTATAACTCTTAACAAAAAATCGTCCTCTGCAAGTTTTGTCATCACAACATCGTTACATAAACAATTTTTGAGAAATATATACAGATCTTGAATTTCTTCTTCTTTCGCACTAAATAAACGACAGATCTAAAAAAAGGAGAAAAACACGTTGGCTATGTTAAATAAAAAAATGAGTTTAAATTTACTGCTCAATAATTTCGTAAACTATAGAAACTGTATATTTGAAAGAGAAAAAATGCCAACCTCAGTATTGCTAAGAGGAACACCAAAAACCTGTAGGTACGAATTTTTCATTTCAGAAAAACTCATTTCACCGCCATGTTTTTCAATTAATTTTACTAATCGCTTTTTACCCTGAAATCAAAAAAAATCATTTTTTTCTTGGCAAATTTGATTTCATAAATTGAAGTTTAGGCTTAGGTATGGAAAAATAGTCTAAAATTTCACTTCGTAATTGTTGGTTTCGGACGAGATTCACCTTTAATATATTACCATAAATGCAGTGACTAGTAGAGCTAGGAGATTCAGAATCACATCCGCCTAGTTTTAAAAACTTTCAAATGAATGAGAAACAGTAATTTTAAAAACAGTAAAAACAGTAATTTTGAAAGAGATTTAAGGCAGGCAATCTAAATCAACAAAAGCTCGTAGATCACGTGGATTTTCATGTCAGTTTTTCTGAGAAGCTGTATATTGTCTTTTTCAACAAGTTAGCGATATGACTAAAAAACGTATTGTCTGAATCGATAATGAATTTTTTCTTTTTTGATTTCCGCTCGTTCAATATAAACGTGCTATGAACAACAAATTAAAACTGAAACCACTGTAAAGATATTGCAGATCAAAAATAAGGAAGCAAAGTTCTACGAATAATAATAGTTCTGTAGTTAAAATAAGAGATCGAAAACTATATACGAAGATAAACAGAAACCTTCTGAGATTTCTTCATTCTATTTTTTTCAATTTCATTTAGATGTGATTGCAGTTGGATTCCTGAAGATATTCGAAAAAAATTTTTTTTTTCATTTTTATTAAAGAAATTCTTTTTACGTTGCATGGAATAAGCAAGAATTGTCACATTTCTAGTCTTAATATTGAATTGAGAAAAAATTTTGCATTTTTTTTCAATCTTAACAAACATGAGAACAACTAACAAGATCAGCAGTTTCGATACGTTAAAATGAAGAAACCTGAAATTGATCCGACGGAATGACCATCGTAAACGTAACTTTGTTTAGTGGACATGGATTGATATTTGTTCCAAGCTCGGATAGGTGCAATAAGTCTTGCCTGTTGGTTTTCAAAACCATGAGGAGATTCCACATACCTAAAATAAAGGGCTGACAAACCAATAAGCAAACAAAGTGCAGTAGAACTAGCCCGAACACAGCGTGTAACTCTAACTACTTCACTATCGAAAACCTTTCAAAAAACCTGACAGGTGAGTCCTTCATCAGATAAAACACTCTTCTCAATCAGCAGCTTGAATAGAGTAGCTTTTCTATTAATAGGCTACCTGAACCAAAGCATTGGAAGCAAACAAGCACAGACGGTCCAATATATTGATAAGTTTGACTCATTAGTTAGTAATAATTAATTAAGTGCAGACCTTGTAAAGAATTTTGCATTGGGATTCGCTTGCAGCGCACTTTTTGAAACCCCGTTCGCATTTTTTTGAAATTTCGTCGCTACTTGCTTTGTAGCAATAGCTTCTTTCTCAACTGCTTGAGATCTTCCATGCAACTTTTCAGCTTGAGTACAGTCAGAGTGAGTTGATGAAGCAGAAATCGACAGGGATCTTCCTGAATCTTTCATAAAGGTATTATAAATCAATCTGTTATCACCAACTGAAGTCCCAAAAATATTTAAATATTTGAATATGATTAATTGCAAAAAAACTCGAAAATCGAAGCATTTACTTTGAAATAAAAAATTTAGCTCTTTACAAACGTGTTGCATAGCAAAAACTTCCATCTGCTAATAATCAATTACCTGGAGATCAATAATATGCATTAAATAAAATATGGAAAAATAAAAAAGAAAATGTCGCACCTCTTACAAATCTCGCAGGCATTGGGACATGAGATCCTCGTCGTGATTTGGCTCTTCGAGATTTTGTATTGCGAATAAGATGCAACATATTTCTAGTATTTTTATCACCAGCTGCGAAATATCGCCCATTTTCACACAAAATTCCACCTTCTCCTTGCATAGCTGGTGAAACAAGAAGTGATTCCAAATTATTAAAGCCATAGTCTTTTGAATTCAAATCTTTGCCGTACATATCTCTGAAAACAATTCCGATTTACTTCAATTGCAAGAAAAGACTGAATGCTTTCAAAAAGAAAGAGATTCTTCCAATAAATAAAACGGAAAAGAAGCAAAGAAATCAGATAGTTAGTAAAAAAATCATGGACAATCTACACGAAAAAAGGCTAACTGTACAAAGACATAGGGCAAAAAATTATGGTTACAACGAGTAAGTCGGCAATCTAACTCTATTATCACTCAACCAAAACTTTCATAAATATTTGTTTGAAATGTCCGTGCGAATTCGGAATAGTAAAAAGATTTGCGTGCAAATTAGATTTACTAATCAATTTTAACATTTTAAATTGTCTTATTGGAAAAAACAGAATAAGCATTTAGCATTATAATTACCATATTGAAGTTAATCAAAACCTTGCTACTTGTTTATTTAAATGTGTAAAAAAAATTAAAGAAATACTTGTATAATCGACACAAATCATTTCCAGTGCATCCATTCTTCTCTGAACCAATCACCGAAACAATGCGAATCTTCAAATCTTCCAATGTTAACATTTCTGCTTCAGACAATTTTCTCCTTCCACTCACTCAGACATAGAAAATGCTAAGTAGAAAAATAACGATCGATCCTTTTCTTTCTTGAAAACGGTCTGAAAACAGATATTTGAAATAAAATATTTCAAGTAATTTGAGGGAAAAGAATAATAAAATCCGTCTTCATTTTATGCATGCAAGTTAATATACCTACGGATTCAAAGCATACCTACAGATGCAAGATAGGTATATACCTATGGATTCAAAGCAGTTAGATAAAAGAAATCTGGCAGATTACTCGATGAAATGAAGAGGAAGGGAATGCAATACAAATAATATGTAAAGTTACTACGTTAAATACACTGTGCTGCCCGCTTCACTTGTCACATTAGTCCATAACAAACACAAGTATTCCTTTTGTTTCAGTACAGAAGAATCATTCATCATATTCGTTTTATTAAGAAATCATTTACTCTTTCTATCTATATCACAATTATCACACATAATCTCACACGTCTTAATTATTAAATTCCATTGCTTTGTGATTCTCTTCGACAATAAAACTTCTCCTTTTCTCAATCCTTATCAAAACTGTAAAACATTACTATTGCTCAATTTTTAACTACCTCTTAGGATATTCTTACATCTTTCCTACAATCTATCATCTTATTATCAATCTCTGGTCAATGCAAATCTTCGATTCTATTAACCATTAAATCTCTCCACGACACTTTCATTTCATCATAATTGATCAACTTTTTCCATATGAAATAATTCCTCCATGCATATTGCAATCAGACAATTTACTCTGATATCGATTCCATCTCTTTAGCTGATAAGTGATGAATGATAGTACAGCAATGTATCCGATATACATTACATAACAAATTTAAAATCCAAAATATCATCACGCAAGAAAAATTCTTTCCTTTTTAATGCCACATATAAATTAGATATAATATATGCTATACGTTTGGCAACCTCAGTTCTATCCATTATTTATTCAACAAATCGTTATCGATGAATAAAATAATAATTTTCTAGAAAAAAAGAAACGATACGACTAAAATCCAATAAGATTGAAATTATCTCCGAATTGTTTAAAATTGTTTACAATGTTGCAAGAAAAAGAGCCTTACAGTTATTACCAGTAGTGGTAAAGGACGAAAAAATCATAGAAGCAATTTAATGTATTACCTAGAAAAAGAACAAAAGTGATAATCGATCTATAATCACATACAAATAGATTATTGTCTTAACAATGAACACTGGTGAAATAGCCGAATGATTACCTATTTAAGCGATTGATAATATGATAATGTTCTTCCAGAAAAGAATCGGTCTAATGGCAATCCCATAACCTCTGCTCTTCTTTCTATCTCTTTTTCTTTTCCTTTCAAAGTTCGATCATACATAATCATAACTATTATTTGTATAGCAAATAAAGAATCGAGAAAAGCATGTAAATATTCGTCAACAAACAATTTCGAAAATTTCGCTATATGCCGAATGAAAGAATGAAAGATTTTGTATACATACGTGTTAAAACATACATCATGACAGAATGATATAAGAGTACAGTACATATGTACATTATGATAAAAACAGGCAGTGCAAGAAAAACTCCCAAAATAATTTTTCATTTTCTTTTGTTTCAAAAATAAAGATTAATAAAAACAAAACAATAATGCTTAAAAAATTACAGGTAAGAAAGGATTGAAAAAAGGAAAGGAAGGAAAGAACAGGTAAGTAAAAATACCTAAAAAATTACGGGTAACAATAACGCCTAAAAAAAATTACAGGTAGGAATAGTGAAAATTAACCTGAAAGGTTTATAATATTTCTTACTGTTACTTTGACATAATGCGACAAATGGGTGGAACATATAGTTATAAAGTGCAAAGAGAAAGTAGCTACATGGAGCCTAGAAATATATATGTATATAGATCCTTGTAATCATTGATTAATTATATTCATTGATTAATTATATCCGTAATAATTGCAGTAATATTTTTTTTAATTTGAATAGATGAATATGATAATCGAATTATTACCTTTTCATTATCCTTTATGTATTATATTTTATTCAGATACTTTTAATTAAAATACTCTAAAATTAAATAATTTGACGATATAAATTTGAATAAGAATAAGGTATGATCCGTTTTATCGACCGATCGATCGTTTACTTCATCCATGAAACCCTTTTATCTTATTTTGTGTTTTCTTATCTCTTATTTTTTCCTTCACTATATCACAAATAAATGTTCTCTTATTTTACATTATCTTTATAAGCAATAAATAATCGACATGCTAAGATATTGCGAAGTAATATCAAGTGATACCATAAATGATGGTATCATATATAGAGGTGATGATACTATATCTAGCAATAATTTAATAAGAGAAATGATTATGGAAATAATCAGATTTCAAATATATCTTATCATTAAATCATTTAATTTTCAATTAATTAAATAGTAGTGATAGGGATGAACGTCATTGTTGAAAATCTTAATTAAATTATCGTACCAATTTCTTTTTTTGTAAGTTTATAAATACGCTTGATTACAGCTTGCCTTCATGTCATGTATCAATTTATTTTCGACGGAATAACTACAATTAACTAAATTGAATTGAAATTAAAATAAATTCGAATACTATCGAAACTTTTTGTGGACCAATTTTGTCCGATTTTAAGCACTTCAAGACTCCATAGACTTGCATATTCCATTAGCTTCTGAATGTAATATTTCAAGAGCTTCATTTTTTTTTTTAGACCAAAAGATGAAAATGTTAATTACTATTAATTGCTTCAACATTTTATACCAAAAAAGTTTGAAATCATCACAAAGAAATTATTTTCAACCAATAATGAAGCAATTTTGCAACATTTCTACTCTCTCTCTCTCTCCCTCTCTCTTACTTCAAAATTCTATCATTTAAAAAGAAGAAATAATCAAATTACGACATATTATCAATATACCAATATATCATAAAATCGATAAATATTACTTCTTACATTATCAGTTATTGATTAGAATGTTCATTGTAATTGACCAAACTTATCAAACTTATCATTTTTATTTTAACAAAGCAAAAAATTCAATAAATTTTAATTAAAAAAATTAATTTAATAAAATGTTGCATAATGCTAAAAAGAATAAATACAATGATTATTACTGCGAATCATAAAAATAATCATTTCGTTTTCCAAATCTCATCCATTTAGCCGTTTGCGCCCTTTTACCAAAACGCATCCATTTTGTATTTGGTATTCTCTTCCCAAATCTCATCCACTTGGTATTTGATGTACGTATACTTCTCGTCAAATCATCCTCAAATTTATTTTTACAATTTTAGTATTTTTGAAATAAGTAATAGTAATAATTATAATTTCAATATTTCGAAATAAGTAATAGTAATAATCATAGTTTCAGTATTTCGAAATAAGTAATAGTAATAATTATAATTTCAATATTTCGAAATAAGTAATAGTAATAATCATAGTTTCAATATTTCGAAATAAGTAATAGTAATAATCATAGTTTCAATATTTCGAAATAAGTAATAGTAATAATCATAATTTCAATATTTCGAAATAAGTAATAGTAATAATCATAATTTCAATATTTCGAAATAAGTAATAGTAATAATCATAATTTCAATATTTCGAAATAAGTAATAGTAATAATCATAATTTCAATATTTCGAAATAAGTAATAGTAATAATCATAATTTCAATATTTCGAAATAAGTAATAGTAATAATCATAATTTCAATATTTCGAAATAAGTAATAGTAATAATCATAATTTCAATATTTCGAAATAAGTAATAGTAATAATCATAATTTCAATATTTCGAAATAAGTAATAGTAATAATCATAATTTCAATATTTCGAAATAAGTAATAGTAATAATCATAATTTCAATATTTCGAAATAAGTAATAGTAATAATCATAATTTCAATATTTCGAAATAAGTAATAGTAATAATCATAATTTCAATATTTCGAAATAAGTAATAGTAATAATCATAATTTCAATATTTCGAAATAAGTAATAGTAATAATTATAATTTCAATATTTCGAAATAAGTAATAGTAATAATCATAATTTTAATATTTCGAAATAAGTAATAGTAATAATTATAATTTTAGTATTTTCGAAATAAGTAATAGTAATAATTATAATTTTAATATTATCGAAGTAAATAATAATTTTGACAAAATTTTATTATTTCGAAATAAGTAATAAAGAAATGAGTAATACCAACAATTTTAATACTTTCGAAATAACTAATAGTAATAATAGTTGTTAGGATTATTTGCTATTTTCAATATATTTTAAATTATACTGCCAATTTTGTAATAATGAAAAAATAATTCAAATTAACTTTTCTTTTATTTTAAATATATATGAGTTAAAATTTTGTTTGTACAATTATTAAATTCGACGCATAATTATGAAAAAGCATTATGAAATATATTTAAATTATATTATAATAATATTATGATTATTTCATTTTCATATTTGTTTAATATTCAATCTTTAATAATATCTATTACTGATAATATCGATCCGATGATTTTACGTATTTATTGCTATAAAAAAATAAATCAATAATTAAATTGATTTTATTAATTTCATTATTATACTATTTCGAAATTTTCTTATTGATAGCAAACAAATATAACGAATGAATAATTAATTACAAATTGGAATGGAAAAATTCGATCGATAATTGAATTATTTCTATAATATAAATTAAGTTAATTATTTGTATTAGTTAATTTAATTCCATTCAATCAATTATTTGCTATTCATATTAATTGCTAATTAATAAAAGCTTTCTTTTTTTTTTCTTTTGAAATTTATCAACTTTATGAGATTGAAATTAAGTAAGAAATGAATATTTCAACTTTCTACTTTCATTTGATCAATAATTATTCATTTAGAATTTAATTTATGAAATTAATTAATAATTAATTAATAATTAATTGCGTCTATCATTAAGAT